AGAAGTGGGAACCCTGTTGCACTGTCAGTGGGAATGCAAACTGATGCAGCCACTTTGGAAAACAGTGTAGAGGTCCCTCAAAAAATTAAAAATAGAATTACTCTCCTACCCAGCAATAGCACTACTAGGAAATTAACCAAAGGACACAGGAGTGTTGATTCTAGGGGTACACGTATCCCAGTGTTTATAGCAGCACTATCAACAGCCAAATTATGGAAAGAACCCAAATGTCCATCAATTGATGAATGGATAAAGATGTCGTTTACATATACATATAATGGAAACCTACTTGGCAATGAGAAAGAATGAAATCTTGCCATTTGCAATAATGTGGATGGAACTGGAGGGTATTATGCTAAGTGGAATAAGTCAGTGGGAGAAAGACAATTGTCATATGTTTTCACTCATGTGGAATTTGAAAACTTAACAGAAGACCACAGGGGAAGAGAGTGGGGAAAAATATTTCAAACAGAGAGGGAGGCAAACCATAAGAGACTCTTAAATACTGAGAACAAACTGAGGGTTGCTTGGGGAGAGCAGGAGAGAGGGGGAAATGCATGATGGGCATTGAGGAGGGCACTTGTTGGGATGATCAATGGGTGTTGTATGTAAGCAATGAATCATGGGATCTACTCCTGTAGCAAAGAGCACACTGTATATACTGTATGTTAGCTAACTTGACAAGAAATGATATTTTTCTAAAAGGTAGACATTTTGTTTAAAAAAACACTAAATTAAGATTGGCTCATGGGATTTAGTTCACTTCATATATTTCTTTTCCAAAAGGAGCTTTAAGTTACACAATCAATAAGTTAAGTTTCAAAATGCATTTTTCACCCCGGAAGTTCCTCTGCTAGGAGGAAATTATTTGTTTACACTTTATACATTTTACATAGAATGGTGATGGGCAGGAATACAGAGATGAAGAAATAAAAGAGAAGGTAAAATAGAGACAGCAAAGTGTGTCATCTTTGGGAACTGGCTTCCTCTTTTGCCTTAGGCTGAAAGCTAGCTGTCCCTGAAGCTATCATCTCCCAAATGGTGCCTAATTATTTTCTCTCATCACACATCCAGGATATTGGGTTTATGTCTACTTCCTTCCCTGCTCCCATTTCCCAGATCACTTTTATTTTATCAACTTGTAAAATTAAAACAAAATCATCAACCACAGAACACACCTGTTTTCCTTGTAGGTCATGCTAGAATACCCTCCTCATCACATCTTTGACTTTCTGATGAAAAGTGACCAGCCTGCTACATCCCACCCATGGTCCTTTCCTCCAGCTTCTATGGTGTAGTCCTCCTTAAACTTTATGTACACTTCAGTTATCAAAATTCAAATTCTGACTCAAATTCTATTCAAAATTCAGATTCTGACTCTGTAAAACACCCCAGTGAGTCTGTATTTCTTATAACTTCCTGAGAAGCCATGGACAGCTATGAAGAGTAAAGCACTAGAGGAGCTGTTTCTCCTATTACCTAATCTACTATAATCCTAATTCTCCTGTTCTTCTTTGGCATTCATTCCTCCCTCCCTTTACTATTTTTAATACCTATTGTTACTTCATTTCTCCTTGTCTTTCTTACATAGTCAATCTCCTGTTTGTCTCAACTGCCTAAGTAGTAGCCATTAAAGCGCGCGCGCACACACACACACACCCCCCTCAGTTTAACCCTTTACACCCCACCCCCCCACTAGCTACCATTGCCGGTCCCTCCCTTCCACAGCCAAACTTTTTTTAAAAAGAAATTGTTAGAAAGAAAGAATTGTGTTTGCTTATGCCATCTCTTCATCCCCAATACAGAACTGGATTGGATTCTGTATCCACATTCATCTGACTTGCAGGCCCATTAGTCCACCAGCATTATGTTCATGAAAGTCACCAATGGTTGCATGTTGAGAAGCCAACAAAGTCACTTTCAGTTCTCATCTTACTTGAACCTATCAACAGCATTCAATACTGTGAACCACACCTGACACTTTTCCTCATGTTCTCCATGACATGATGGTCTCATTGTCCTGTTATCATTCTAGTGACTTTTTCACTTGGTTTTATAGGATCATAATTTTCTGTGCAGCTATTAGATATTATATATTGAAGTTCTTTGTGACATAGTCCTTCTTTTCCAGTATATATTTGTACCGTATAACCTCCATGCTCTGTCAACCAAAAGCATATGCCTTTTTTTTTTTTTTTTTTTTTTTTTTTTAAGAAAGGGAAACTACATGAGCAGGGGAGAGGGGCAGAAGGAGAGAGAGAAGAGAATCTCTGTTCTCCATGCTGAGCATGGAGTCCGATGCTGAGCTTGATCCTACCACCCTGGGATCATGACCTGAGCAAAAATCAGGTCAGATGCTCAACTGAATGAGCCACGCAGGTGTCCCTAAATGCAAATGACTTTTAAATTTATGTCTCCAGCCTATACATACAGTTTGAATTACAAACTTGTATGTCCTATGACCTACTTGACATCTTCCCTTAGATGTCTCAAAGGTACTTCAACCATAGATCTAAGATAAATTAATAATTTCCTAAAAGTACATGCCAATACACATAGCAAGGTACATAGTCCAGAATTTTATTAAGTTTTTGACACATCCTCTTCCCTGTCATATATCCATTCTATCTTCTGATACCACCCTAATATCTATGGAATCTATTCTACTTATTTCATCTCCACTATCATCTCCATCCTAGTGTCAATAATTGTCATCTCTGGGCTGGGGTACTACAAATGGTTTCCTAAGGAGTATTACTTCCATCCATTCTACTCTGCTTCTCCTTCTTTAATCTGTTCTACATCCTGCAGATACAGTAATACTTTTGAAACACAAATTTCACATTATATGCCCTGAACTTGTTTTGATTCCTTATATCAGCCAAGCCCAGTAAAGAGACATTGCTTGTACTGTTTCAGTGTCTTGGAATGTTCTTTCCCTCCTTTCTCCTAGGTTACACTGCTTATCCTTTAAACTTCAACTCAATTACCTTTTTTTTTTTCCCGAAAGCCTATCTTTGCCTTCATGACTAGGTCAAATTTATTTAGTAGATTACCATATTCCCATATTCCTTGAGAGCATGGTACATTTCTGGTTTTGTTCACTATTATCTCTCCAGTACAGCACAATTCCTAACACTTGTATGCTGAGAATAATATCAGTTGAAGAATCCCAAATGGTATGGGATTTGGGCTGGGCATTCTCTGTAATTATTGAAGAATAAGGTAGAGGGAGATGAATTAGGGATATTGCAAAGAACAAAATGTAACAGCACTTTCTGTAATAATTAGAAGTGAAAGGGGAGTTGAGTATGTTTCGTAGGTTGACCTGGGGAATGGAAAAGTCAGTGATAAAGCAGTTTCAGCTAAGTCAAATGACAAGCCCAATTTATTAATGCAGTTGAGGTAATAAATTTACCAGATGAAAGTAGCTCGAAGACATATTAAAATGTAGCAACGAATATGGTGTGAGATGCCATCTAGGCATCCTGGTATGGACGCCTTTCTGTTCCTGACAGGGAAATGTACTTCTCTGTGTTCACCACCCTGATTACCAGCACAGAGTCAGAAATCATGGAGCTATTTGAGTGTGCCCTCTTTTCTTATCCCTTTCTATCATCATCTATTTGTTCTTTTTTTCCTCTGTCCCACTACCACTTCCCTGGACTTTTACCTGGACTATTTCAACAACTCTCTTACTACTCCCCTTGCGTCCAGCCTTGGTCTCCTATAATCCAGTTTGCACTTTCCTCCTAGAGTGACTTCTAGGACACCACAATGTCACTTTCCTGCTGCATGTCTTTAAAAGGCTTCCACTGACTACAAAATAAAATCTAGACTCATCATCAGGCTTTATGATTTGATTCTAGAATTCCTGAAGTTCACTTCCAGCACCTCTCTCCAATTTTACCAGACTACTTATTATCTCCAAGTGCCTCCTGCTTTCTTTAGTTGTATCCTTTACGTCCTAACGAAATCTGGCGATAGAGTAACACAATTATTCTGACTGGTAAGGAAACAATATAAGGCCAAGGGAACTCTTAGGCTTCCAGTTCAACTCAGATGTGGCCTCCTGACTGAACCCTTCCCCTCTAGGAAAATATTTAGAGTCCCATTAGTTATCTGCCAGCTCTCTGTAATTTTTAGCCAAAAGTTAGCTGAGTCTGTTTCTCACATAGGTGAAGTTAAAGTCGCTATTTGGCATGTCTCTCCTTGAGCTAGGCTAGCTACAAAGGGTTTGGCTCTACGTAATCTGTTGTCACACCTCCCTTCTGGAGGTGTGGAAATGTTTCCACGGAATTCTCCCCTTGACCTCAAGAAGACGGCTACGCGGAGGGGGAGGGGTCATCGTTACGTTTTACGTCATCACGCGCAGGGAGGGTGGGGCCCTCAAGGGATGTGCTAAGGGTGTGGCCAAGTAGGACGGGGCGGGGCTACGATGAGCTGGGCGGGGCCGCAGAGGGGTCCCGGGCGCTTCTGCTATTCAGCCGCGGTTCACCGAAGCCAAAGGCAACGCTGGGAGAGTCCACTCGACGCTCTGTCCCGAGAACGTGATCAGGACCACCAGCTCAAAGCAGAGGCAGCCGCTTAGCCGAGCGGAGGCTGGGGGAACGCGAGTGCGGCCGGAGTCTGAGCTCTGCAGGCGGGAAGCACCCGGGATAAGTGAAGCCCCAGGAGCAGGGGAGCTGCGCCTCCTTACCCAAGGGGCCGCGGCGACGGTCCCCGGGCACTGCGCCCCAGCGCGCGACCCGGGCCAGGATTCTAAACAGGCCCAGGCTCCTCCTCCACCCGGGCCGCCTACCTGCGGACAGCGCTACGCCGCCTCCGCGGGTGTAGAAGGCACCTGCGCCGCCTCGCTCTCCGGTATCCGCCCCTCGCCCCTCAGCGCCAGGCCCGAGCGGCGCACCTGGACGCGCGGGGCTGCGGTAGCCAGGATTCGGGGCGCGCGGCGCCTTCGACACCGCCGGGGGAGGACGCAGGTGGAGCGGGCGCGGCTTCGGAATCCGGTGCCGGCCGCTGCAGTCGTCCGGGTCGGGAACCTGGCGGTCCGCGCCCGCTCCTGGGGAGGAGCCGCCGCCGGCTGGGCACCATGAACAGCAGCAGCTCCCACATCACCTACGCCAGTCGCAAGCGGCGGAAGCCGGTGCAGAAAACGTGAGTGTGCAGAGCTAGTCCTCCGCGCGGAGTGTGCGCCTCGGCACCCCGGTGCGGGAGGCGGCCCCACCCCGCCCCCAAATCACCGCAGTGCAGAGATTAGTTCATTCACGATGCAGTCCATGGAATCGAGCTCAAGAGACCGGTCGAGAGACCCAGGACTTACATTTTTGAGTTTTTAATGATTGCACTTAAAAAATTGCACCCTCCCTCCCAATTCGCGGTGCACACGCACCCTCTCCCACTCCCACCCGTCTACACCTCTCTTCTCTGTGGTCTTAATTTGTTAACTGGACTAGCCTGCCCAGTGGGGCTGGTGCATTAGTTAACAGCAAACCGCCTTGAAATCCCTTCCATTTTTAATATCCTCATTGGTTAGGTTAGAGGACGGTTATTATTTTCATTCTGCTAGGGCCAGATGTTTTAAAGAGCTAAACACGTGCCTTCTGCAAAAAAGGGTGTGAGTTCCCCTGAAGGTATTTTTTGGTTCCTGCAGCCGGCCTTCTGTTGCGCTCTTATTTACTTATTTGGCAGTAATTTTCTAGCGCTCAACGTGATCATATCGGTGAGGTGCATATACATTGGGAGCAGGGATGAGTTGAGTGTAGTGGCTAGGATACAGCGGGAGATTTGTATTTTCAGCCACCCTCTTGGGGGGCTTTCTTACCACTTCTGAGGTGATTTTAGGCTCTGTAAAGTGAAAGATTTGGAGCTGGAATTATTAAAACACGTTTGCATTTTTAGCATCTTTCTCTTTTTCCCCTCCTTCAAAGTTTTGTGGATTCTGATAGAGTGATTAGAAACTTAGATATTTGCTTTGGTAATATATTTTTTTGAGATGGTGAATACATTTAAATGATGTTTCAGGGAAAAACATTCACAGATTGAGTTGGTTGTATTCGTGTGTTTATTACTAATTATGATCTTTGAGCTACTTAACATTTTTCACATTTTCTTAAACCATTTAAAGAACATAAACGTTTACTCAGAACAGGTCAGAAGTGTACACTGCTTAAAGCTCAATTTAGGTCACTAATCCAGATCAGAAAAATAACAGTTTAAAATTTGTGTTTGGAACCAGTAACTGGTTTAAAAGTTTCATTAGTCTGGAGTTTTAATTTCCTTTTAGAATTTCAGTTACAGTTCTTCAGATCTAGATTTGGCATTAACAGAAGATATTAACCTATAAATAGACTGATTAAAATTTGGAAGTTTAATCCTACAGTGTGGCTGACATTAGGAATACTGCCTAGTCAGCAGTTCTCTATCTTGGCAGTTCTGTGACATTGGCCTAAAATACTTATATTTTATAACGTAGTTTCTTAGATAAAAATGTGTTTGTCTAACTTGTCTTTGGTGGTTAAAGTTGAGAGGCATCTCAAATGCCTGTTCTGTGTATATGTTAATACAGTACATAAGTAATACACTTAGCATAATATAAAAGAGGTATCATTGATTTTATGTGTATGGTCAGAAAACTTGGAGATCTCCCTGATGAATTCTTCGGTTTTAATCATTGCTGTAACAAAGGATCTAGATGACTTTGCTTTTTGTAATCAAAAGCCTTAATGTGGTATTCATGATAAAGTTTAACATCTTTGGCTTTTAGTTAGCATTTTGTTTATGTAAGATCTGTCTTTCATTATTTTAGCATTTTAACATTATTCCTAAAACTTCTAAATATATTTGTATTTAATAATCATTTGTAATACAGTATAACTAAAGCATTTCCCATGTTCACGTTCATTTTATTTTAGTTAGTATAGATGTTTATCAGATCTTTATTTAGCACTATGTGTTGTGTCTAGTCCTATAAATGCCTTAACATGTCACCACATCGCTCCCTAAGAAAAGCCCAGTGCTGCCATTTTTTGAATCATGTGAAATTGATAAGTTGTTTTTACCTGAATGAGAAATGAATTACTTTATAATGCGTTAGTCAAGGTTTATTTTAGGAATGTAGCGTTAAATCTAATACTACGTTTAATATACATTTAGTTAAATTACTAGTTTTTAGCTAATGAGGTCTAAAATATGTCAGCATCGTCAGGAAAACACCGTTAGTTTGAGTTGAAAATGGTATTTAACTTTGATTCCTGAAGTGAGAGTCATTTTATTTTATTTAAATAAAACATATGTTGTATCATAATTATAGGACTGCTAACAATACAGTGATTTTAATATATAGTTTTATAAAAATTTATAAGCAATTAGGTGACAACTTTAACCTGAAGCTCTTCCAGTGCATCTTTAATTGACTTTACAAACAAGATAAACCCCCCCTAGTGGCAAGTCTGACATTGAAAATTATCTAATTGGCATGAAATACAATTTAAATGGGTTAAGTACACTGAAGTATCTTGTACATGGTAGATGCTCAGTAAATGTTTCCCTTCATTTTGGAATAATTAAGTTAGGAACTTAAAGGATCCGAACCAACCTTGCACCAGTTCCTAAAGGAATTTTCCAAAGTTACCCTTAGGAATGGATTCTCCTGTTGCTTTCTTTAAGGTGTTGCTCTTTATATCATAACTCTACTTAGAAGACAAACAAAAAAATTATTTTTTTAATTTAAATTGTGTTCCTGTTTTGTTTTCTTTGGAGATGAAAGTACTGTTCGTTTATTTATTTTGTCTCATGAAGATAGGTGAAAATCATACTATTGAGTTAAATGGAATCTTTTTTTGCTGTGGATAATAACTTTGTATATTTTTATATTTTTAAAAGTTTTGTTACTACTGGAGAAGTTTAATGGTACTTCAATTTACTGTTTTTCTAGAAAGTTATTACTGATTGTTGGTAAATACTAAGTGTTGAGTAAATGACATGTACACTTAAAAATGATAGAGCAATAGTGATCAAGGCAGCTGTCATGAAATGTCCGTACTGGTAATAACTTCTCAGTCTTAGATGATGCGGTTTACCTTGTTAACATACTAGTTATATAATTTAAAAGCATGGTCTTTGTTGCTATATTTGCTAAGTTAGTTTATTTAAGCCTCATAAGCCTCATTTATATAATAGTGGAATAAAATTATGTATTGTTTTACTTAAAATATTTCATATAAATAAACTATGGTATCATTTTCCAAATAGCTTTTAAAGTAAAGGGATAGATCTTTTCACTTCCATAATTATTGCTTCATCATTTTTTTTCAGATAGCTTTACTTAGATAGTTTATGCATACTGACTGTAGAGATCCTTACATACTGGAACTCTGAAATGAGTGAATGAAAGTGTTTAGTTATCAGCATTTATGAGATATAACTGGCAGAAAGAGGGAAAAGTGAGAAATAAATTGAAAGAGAATTAGGTCTGAACTGAAGGATGATGTCTAGTTTCCTTGCTTTTGTAGATCCGAGCAAGTGATTGACCAGTAAAGGAGGATGGTCAGTACCTACACTGTCAGTCTCACAACTAAGATGAGCAGAACAAAATTTTTTATAAACTGTAAAGACTGTTAATGACATAAATGAAACAGAAAATTCTATTCTTTACATAACTGTAGCTTGCATGATCACAGAACAGTCAGGTCTCCTGTAAGAGGCAGTATATGATTATGTTCTCAGTTACGGTCATGGCGGAAATGTCCTACTTCACTGACATAAAAACTTACATAGTGCATGCCTAGCATTGTTTATAATGAGGACAATTAACTTAGAAATAAATACCATGCATATGTCTAACAACAGTACCTTTCTACTTACACATTTTTTTAAAAATGGCTTTTTTGCCCAATTTTTTGTCAAATTTTTCATTATCAAAAAGCTATTCATTAGTACTTACTGTTATATATATATGCTCAGTGTTTTATACACATCATTTTATTTTATTTTTATAATAGTAGTGTGAAAAGGTATTACTATTTATTTTATAGAAAGGGATCTGGGGCTCAGATTCAGAATTGTCAGTAAATGAAAAAGCTTAGTTTGAATATCGGATTTCATGTCTTACGGCTCTAAAGCTTATGTTATTACCAACTTCACAATAATGCTCAGGTGAATAAGTTTAGTGATACATGTAGCACACCCATATACTAGGGATTTCCTTAATGTCTTCTGTTTCTCCTCAAATAATTAGTGTTATTTCCAATAGCACTAATTAGTGTTATGTGAAATAAATGATATACTGTTTCCCAGACTTGTGCTTATCTCCATACTTGGATTCATCGTCTTTCCTCTTAGTCTCTCTTATGATTTACTACCTGCCTCCCTTCCTTTACAATATGGTTTTCAGTGGCTGCATAGTACTCCACTCTGTAAAATCTTCCATGATTTAACTATTTTTCTTCTGGGGGAGAAATTCTGTTATTTCCAACTTCTTAATATTTTATCTGGTATTTCAGAGAATACCCTTGAGATACAGGAGTTTCTATGCAAATTGTTAGTTGTTTCCTTAGGAAAAAATCCTTTAAGTGGAACCTGTAGGTACAAAGGTATGTATGTATACTTTCAAGGTTGAGCCCAATGTTACACTTTGAAACAGTGTCAAAGTACTCTACAAAAAATTTATTCCTGTGGATAGTATGGGAGAGTGCCTGTGTCCTTGCATTTTTGCTTTAAAATGTGAATTGTCAATTTCACAGGCGAAAAAGAGGAGGGGTAGGCAATTGAACTTAAATGTTGGGATTGTGTGTGTGTGTGTGTGTGTGTGTATGAAGTTGTAGTACTAGTAGTAATAGTGTATCTGCGGATTTTTCTACTTGAAGTGTATTGTTTTGCTTTGTCTTGTATTTTTCAGCTTGCTTTTTCCCTTTGTTTGCTTGAAATATTTTTTTGAACAGTACTCCTGTTAAATAACACATGCATGTTTAAACAAGTCAAGGATATGTGTGTCATGCTATCTTTTCAGCATATTAGGTATTATCTGTTGATGTTTTATTGTGATAAAGTGATTATTACTTCATATCTCCTTCCTTCTCACCTTTCGTCACCCTCCCAATATAACTTTATCACTATTTTGGATTAAATTAACTTCTAGTGTTTTCTTATTTTTAAAC